GGTAAATTTTTGGACAAGGACAGATTTCCTTAAAAAGGAAATAACCCTGGATCTTCCCAATAATTGATAATTCCCAATTATTTAATAATCACTTCTCTCAAAGTGCTATGGAAATTCTGAGGAGGGAGAGATCACTTCTAGCTGGTGAAAGATGAGGGAAGTCTTCATGGCAAAAGCATTTGAGTTGTTACTTGAAGGAGAATTTTGATAGAGATAAGGCAATTAAGGCTTAGGAGATGATGTAAGCAAAGACATGGAAATAAAAAAAACCAAAGGATCAATAAATCAACAGATATTTATTAAGGACTTAACTGTGTGCTAGACATAGTGCTAAGCTCTGGAGATACAAAGAGGAAATGAGGAAACATGTACATACATGAGTATATGTAGTATATATGCAAGATGAATACGAAGTAGTTTTACGAAGGAGAGCAAGAAGCAGATAAAGGGATCAAAAAAGGCCTCAAAGAGAAGGGGGGGGCTATCCAGTGTGGCTAGAGTAGCATTCATATAGGGGAATGTTGTTCAGTCGTATCTGACTCTTCATGACCCCATGTGGGGTTTTCTTGGCAAAGATATTGGAGTGGTTTGCCATTTCCTTCTCCAGCTCATTTTACAGATGAGCAAATTAAGGCAAACAGGGTTAAGTGACTTGCCTAGGGTTTCATAGCTAGTAAGTGTCTGAGGCCAGATTTGAACTCAGGAAAATGAGCCTTGCTGACTCCAAACTTAGGGCTCTATCCTCTGTGCCACTTAACTGCTCAGATGTAGGGGAATAGTGGGAGATAGAATTAGAAAGGTAGGTTGGGCCCAAATTTTGGAGGGCTTTGAATGTCAAGTCGGGGAGCTTGGACTTAATTCTGTAGGTAACGTAGCTTTTTTGAGTAGGAGCAAGTTAGAATCAGAACCGTGTGTGTTAAGAAGATTGGACGGGGAAGAGATTAGAAACTGGCAGAGACTGAAGGTAGGAAGACCTTTTTGCAGGCTACTGAAGTCATCAAACCAAGCTGTGACAAGAGCTTGGGGTAGGGCCAGGGGTGGGGAGGAGATGGATGAGAAAGCTATTCCCCCAACTTCTTGTTTAGTTCCCACCACAGGGTGTGGGGGCAGACCTAGGAAGGAGGGAGTGGAAGCTCTATGGTGGAGTCAGATGTCAGCGGGCACTTCCTCTCCAAACCTGGGAATGAGGCCTGATTTCCTCCAGAAGCATGTCAAGAGACAAAGGAAATCCTGTTGGAGCTGGTCCAAGGGAAGCCCTTTGACCACTGGCCCCTGCTCAGCACCCAGGCTAGTTCAAACTGCAAAAACAGGTTCTTTTCTTCCTGCACTTGTCTTTTGGGGGCTTCCAGAGAATCTCATCTTCTCCACGGGTGGGTTTGGATTCTAAGTAGTTCTCACTCAAGACAGAATTATAAAGTTGGCAAAGTTTGTCTTTGTCTTCCCCAGGAGATCTCCTTCATGTTTATCCTTTTTACCTTCTCTGAAACCAAGGCGACTTTGGGACATCCCAAGAGTCTGATAAACTAATTTGTCTTAAAGTGCTAGCAACCAATAATGCCTCACTTACTCTTTCCAGGAATATTTGTTGGTGATTCCTCTCCTCCTTCTCTCCCTACAAATCACTTTGGATTCATTTTGTATATGTATACTATTCACTTCTCTGTGAACAAGTTTGCTCTCAGTAGAATGTAAGTTCCTTGAGGAACTTAAATGCTTGTTGAATTAAATTGAATTTACAAGATGACAATCTCATAACCCAAATGAAAGAACATCTAAGGTAGTGGTGGTAGTAGTGGGGGAGAATGGAGGCATCCGGACAGCAAGATCTTTTGATTGAGGGAGGTGGAAAGGACTTTCTAGCATCCTTCAAATAATTCCATGTGGGCAACCACTTATTATGTATATACTGGGCTCTGTTCTTGATACTTTTCCTAAGTCTGCCATCCCTCAGATCAGAAATGAGTTCGAAGACAGAGGAAAAGTACACCTATATACAAAAATACTTCTAGCAGCTCTTTTTGGAGTGGAAAAAAACTGGAAACCAAAGAGGTATCTATCAATTGGGGAATGCCTAAACAACAACAACAACAACAACAAAATGCATATAAATGTAAAGTAATATTACTGTGCTGTAAAAAAAATTATAGGAGAGATGGGTTTAGAGAAACACTGGAAGACTTGTATGAATTGATGCAGAAAGAAGTGAACAGAACCAGGAGAACAATTTGTACAACACTAAGAATGCTGTAAGGGCAAATAACTGAAACACTCAATAACTCTGATCAGTGCAGTGACCAACCATGATTCTAGAAGGCTGTTGCTCATCTATGTCTTACACTTTCTGGAAGAGAGGTGATGGATTCAAGATGGAGAACCAGACATATATTTTTGAACATAGATGAAATGGGAATTTGTTTTGCTTGACTATGCATATTTGCTACTACTTTTTTTTTAATTGAGGGGTTGAAAGGGGAAAAAATTAATACATGTTAATTAATGAAGAAAAAAAAAGTACAGTGGCCAACCTCCTGGTTTCCTTCAAGTCCTAGCTAAAATCCCACCTTTTACAGGAAGCCTTTCTCTATCCCTTTTTTTTTCTTCTTTTTTTTTTTGCTTTTTGGTGAGACAATCAGGGTTAAGTGACTTGCCTAAGGCCACACTGTTAGTAAGTGTCATGCACCTGAGTCTGGATTTGAACTTAGGTCCTCCTGACTCCAAGGCCAGAGCTCTATCCACTGCACCTCCTAGCTCCCCCCCCTTTTAATTCTAATATCCTCCCTCTGTTTTACTTATCCTATACATAGTTTAATTGTACATAATTTGAATGCTTCTTCCCCATTAGATTGTGAGCCTCTTGAGAGTAGGAACCTTTAGCCTTCTTTGTATGCCCAGTGGCTTAGCACAGTGCCAGACACATAATAGGAGCTTAAGAAATGTTTACTGGTTAAGAACATGGTTACTGATGCTCACTCCCTCTAGGGAAAGGACTACATTTCAGGCTCCCAGACCAATGGCCTCATTATTCTCTAGAAATATTACACTTGTGAATTATCCTGACAAGAGAACCAGACCCATGTATCTGGCGTTTTGCCTTTATCTGTTTGAGGCAACTGGGAACATTGCCCCATTTGGCTATAAATGAGTCCCAGTAGTGGACTCTCTTTTACTTACGGAGGTGATGAAGAAGACATGAAATGACTGCCTGAGGACTCATTTGTATCTACTGTGGTACCAGCATTTCTAAAGTGGCTGAAAACTCTTTGCATTCTCATACTGCTACCTGGCACCGTTTTCTTACATTGAATGAATTGAGGGGTGGGAAGAAAGGGCTCCCTCCTCTTCTGTTGTGTTATGGTGCCACTGGTTGCTTAAATTGTTAATCAAAACTTCTGTAGGCTGGGCTGATGGTAAGAGAGAACTCAGCCAGTCTGTGACATCTGTATCATTTGTAGGAATAGAGAATGGGCTCCTCCTGTTATGTTTTTACATGTTGAGAGGCAGCTAGATGGTTTAGTGGATGCAGCACTGCACCGGGAGTCGGAAAGACCTGAGATCAAAGGTAGCCTCAGACACTTACTGGTTGTGTGACCCCGGGCATGTCACTTCACCTTTGTCTGCCTCAATTTCCTCATCTGTAAAATAGAGATGATAATAATAGTACTTACTGAAAAGGTTGTTGTGAGAATGAAATGAGATAATGTGTATGAGGCACTTTCAAACCTTAAAGTATGATAGAAATGCTAGCTATATCCCATAAATTTCTCTGAAATTCTTTCATAAGTCCCTGCATTGAATGCTTATATCATCCTCTACCAGACGTTCCCAAACTTATTTGGCCTACTGTCCCCTTTTTAAAAAAAATTACTCAGTACCCCCCTGGAAATCTACTTTCTTTACCCCTTTAACATTTTTAAAATTTGCATAATTTCAAATATATATGTATATATGTTTTAAAATGATGCATCTTACATTTATTAATTTATTGTAAATTTGTTTTTTTCTTGCATTGACATTTTGATGATGTAATATTGCATCATGTAACTGTATAGTACTGTATTGTAAGCAAGTCATTACATACACATATTCCTGCAGATGCATGCTGGACTTCCTAACAATTCGAAAAAATGTACTTCCCTGCCAACACTTGCTTGTTAAGACTTGTTGGTGGACTTGACCATTGATTGTTATAATTTGCATTTTGTGTGTTTATTTGGAAAAAAATGTAATCATTACAACTTTACTCTGTTACCCAACAGATGAAACATGTATGGACAGTTTTTCAAAATTTTCTTCTCTTCTTTCCTTATGCTTCCTCTGCTCCTTTATTTTTCTTCAGTGCCCCCCAATTCCACACGAGGCCACTACCACTCCCCTTGGATTGTTCTAGCACCCTGGACATCACCCACTTTGGGAACCTATGCAAGTCTACACAGTCACCTTGACTAGGTCATTTTTTTCTTGAGAGATAAAGGCTCCCATGTTACTTTTAAGTATGGTTGGTCTTACATATAGTGTGATGTCAAAGGTCCTCCAAAGTCCTTGCTGATACTTTTTGAAAGACCTCCCCAACAAGTACCAAGATCCCTTATATTCTATTGCCAGGGGACAAAACCTGTGTGTCATTATAGCTGAGACAAGGCAAATCCCCATGAAGGAGGGAGCATAGGAATCTTCAAGAGTTCACATTTGTATAACATTTCATAATTACAAAGTATTTTTAAAAAATCATTATAAAAGAGCCCTCATCTCCCATGAAGCTGACTGCCTGGATTTCAAGATCTTCAGAAACTTATCATTTGGCAAGATGAAATCAGCTGTGAAACTCACACCTACTTAGCACCCCCTGCTCCTGGGACCCTTCCCTCCCTCAGATTGCAAAGGGTGGATGTTGGTTGGAGAGCTCCTCTCTGATACTCTACCATTTAGGGAGGGCAAGTAGGGAATTCACTTCATCATCTCCCACCCTGCTGACCTCCTGGATTTTATGTTCTCCAGAAACTTATTCTGCAAGCTGAAATCAAGTGTGAAATGCATACCTTCTTGGATCATTTCCCATGCCAGCAGCAAGACTTCATTATGACCCTCCAGGTAACCTTCGCCTGTCTCTCCCCGCCTCCCCCCCCCCCAATTTTCAGTTTCTTTTTATGTGTTGCCTTGTGCTGTTAGACTGTGAGCTCTTTGAAGGCAGGGATTGTTCTACGTCTTTGTAGCCCTAGTGCTAGCACAGTGCCTGGCACATAGTAGGTGCTCAATAAATGTTTATTTATTGACTCTACCTAATCTCATTCAATCAGCTATAAATTAGGCAGTGGGACTAATATTACACCCATTTTACAGCTGAACAAACTGAAACTCAGAGAGGTAAGGTGATTTAGGACACTCAGTAAATGGTAGAGGCAGGATTTGAATTAGGCTTCTGACTCTAATTCAGTGTTTCTTCTACAGTGAAGTGTAAGTCACCTCCATCAGGATCTTTCTTGAGAGCTGATTGTGAAAGGGAACAGTGAAAAGGACTGTATAGGGAGGGCCTGAAATACTAGGACAGAGTCTGGTCTTTATCTAGGAGATAGTAGGGAGCTATTGAAGGTTTTTCAGCAGGGTGGTGAAGCAACCATAATCACACATCAGTAAGATTAATCTGGCATTGATGTTGTAGTACGTGCCTCAGAAAGGGAGGCTACATCATGGAGTGAGGGGAAAGGGGCAGTTAAAAGAGGAAGCCTGGGAGTGTCTGAGACAGATTTTTCCTTCATCATTCTTCTCCAGGGTGGTCCCTTTGGGTGTGGACTTTGAGATCCTCTGGGGTGGGGGAGGGTGAGAATTATAAAACTTGTTAAAAATAAGCCAGCCTCTGCTGTGTTTGTTCTGATTCTGGTACCCAATGTTCACCTCAGTGCTGATTAATGAAAACCTATAGGGATAACTCTTGGGAAAGAGGCCCTGGAAAGATGCTGGCAGCTGATGGCCTGTGTGTCTGTCACAACATCAGCCCCGCAGGAGGAAGCCAGAAAGGAAGTTGCCCAAATGATTATCCTTTGAAGGTCTTTGGGTACCCCACCCTTAGATGGAGACAGAACCAAAGGGAAGAGGGACCTTTGTATGAACCTCAGCTTGAGAATGGGTGTGTGTATAGATAGGGTTGTGGGGGAGGGAGGGAGTTGGAGGTAAGAGCAATAGGGTCCTCACGTGGGCAGATGGTATGTGTGTAATTTGCATGTGTGAGGCAAGTGAGACTAAATCCAGAGATCAGAGCCCATGAAGTGTTAGAGCTGGAAGGGACCTTGGAAGTAACAGTTCAACATGAACATTTTATTATTAGTACTAAATTAAAATTAATTATACAAATAATTGCTGGTGTTTATATACTGAGTTAAGGTTGACTAAGCATTTTACATACATTATCTCATTTGAACCTCACGCTAATCTTGTGAAGTAGCTAGTTCATGTATTTTAATCTTGAATTTACAGATTCAGAGACTGAGCCTGGGAGAAGCCACGACTTTCTTAATCTCACAAGTGAACTAGTCATAAATGTCTCAGGTGTTATTCAGACTCTGATCTCCTCCTGACTTCAACCCTGGGGCTCCTCACACTACAGCTGGTTTGTTGGAGAACTAGCACTCCAGGCTGCATGTGCATACCAGAGCTGCTGCTTGGTGCCTCTGTCTTCATGAGGGGAGGGGTTGGGAATAGCTACCATGACCCCTGCCCATTAATCCCAGAGTAAGTATGTGCCTGACTTCACGTGCACCGGCAGGCAACCCAATTGGTCTGAGCAGCTAAGGGGGAAGGGGAAGCTAGAGAACACAAATGAACCAACCCCACCCACCCCTTTGTGGCAAGGAAATAGCTCAGGCCAGTTTCCTTTCTGAGAACAGGAAAGACTCAGGGAAACAGTGGCCTGGGAAGACCTGGTTGACTGGATATGAGAGAGACACACAGACAGACAGACAGACAGATACAGAGAGACAGAGAGAGACAAAGACAGAGATGGGGGGGCGGGGGGGGGAGAGAAAAAGAGAGAAAGAGAGAGAGAACACAGCACTAAGGAGAAACTGAGGATCATTTCCCAAGGGGACACTTTCCCAACCTGTCCTCTAACAGGTCCTGGGTCCCCCAAAATGGCTCTGGGGGTTGATTTGAGCTCCAGACGCAACCCATAGCCCACTTGTGACACCAGCTAGCTGTGTGACCTTATGACTTTTTTGAACCTTTTTATTTCATCTATAATTGGGGTAATGATACTTTAGTACCTACCTCAACAGGTTATGAGGCCCACATGAAATAATGGCTATCCCCAAACTATCAAGAATACTGTCATTCTTTCACCCGGTCATCAGGGCTTGCAACCTCGATGTCATCCTCAACTTTCTCTCACCGCCCAAGTAGTCAATCTTGTCATTTCTCCCTTCATCACATCTCTCATATAAGCTCCTTCTCCTCTGACACTACGCAGTTCCAACCTTCATCATCTCAGGACTATGATAGACTCTCAACTATTAAAATGGCCTGCTGTTTGGTGTCCCTGCCTCAAGTCTCTCCTCCCTCAAGTTCATTCCCCATTTAGCTGTCAAACTGATCTTCCCAAAGTACAAGTCTGACTGTGCCACACCTCACCTTCTCCTTGACCCCCATTCAATAAATTCTAGTAACTCTCTATTGACCCTAGGTCTAAATATAAAATCCTGTTTGCCTCTGTAACCTGCCCTGTTCCTACCTTTTTGGTCTTCTTACACCTTTATACCCTACCTTGTACTCTGGGATCTAGAGACTGGATTCCTTCCTCTTCCTAGAACTCCCATGCCTAGAACTCTACCCCTCCCCATTTCTGCCTCCTGGCTTCCCTTGCTTCTCTCAAGTCTCAGCTAAAATCCACCTTCCTCAAGAAGCCTCTTTGTTGATCATTTCTAATTTATCCTCTACGTACCCTATCTTGTTTGTAAATAGTTGTTTGCATGTTATCTCCCCTATTAGACTGTGAGCTCCTAGGGAGCAGGGACTGCATTTTGCCTTTTTTGTAATCTCAATATTTAACACAGTGCCTGGCACATAGTTTTTGGTGTTCAGTTCTGTCCGACTCTTCATGACCCCATTTGGGATTTTCTTGGCAAAGATACTGGAGTGGTTTGCCATTTCCTTCTCCAGCTCATTTTACAGATGAGGAAACTGAGGCAAACTGGGTTAAATGACTTGCCCAGGGTCACCCAGTTAGTAAGTGAGGCCAGATTTGAACCTAGGAAGATGAGTCTTACTGGTTCTGAGCCTAGTGCTCCAGTAAGCTCTTAATGCCAGACGGCTGACTTGTTGTTGTGATTGTTATTGTTGGAGTTAAAATTGTTGTTGCTGTAGTTAAAGTAGTACACTGAGTTGAGCAATTCTGACTGAACGTGTGTGGGGGAGGTTGGGTGAAGAAGTGTGTGAGGTGAGCCGGTAAGAGCTAATAAGGTGTTGGATTACAGACTCACCAGGTAAAATATAAGGAGGATAAATCCACATTGTGAGAAATAGGTCAGGAGGTGAACAGTTGGGCCAGAGACTTGATATTTCCGCTAGCATTTCCCTAACATGATCTCTGGGTCTCCAGTTTCAGCCTAGGTGTGACCCAATCTCCTGCTTGCTGTGCGAGGTTAGCGGCCCCAGAATGCCTTGCGCCTGATACTGATGACTCATTCCAGTCTCCTGATAGCCCTGGATCCTGGGCGTGTCCTTCTGTAAACAAGCAAAATATCCCTTTTACTCCCCCCCAAGCTCACAGTGTTGGAGAAGGATGGAGGGAGAAGTTGAATGGGTCCATTTCAGGACAAAATAAAACAAATACATGCTTATTGGAAGCCATTAGAGAACAATTAAGTGCCAAGTTATGTGATAATGAAGGTGGTGGTGATGGTGGTCAGGGAAGGATTCATTGGGAAAGGTGGGATTTGAACTGAGGCTTGAAGGATGAGCAGGGGATGGGAAAGGCATCCCAGGCGACAAAAGAGGTAACCACATAAGGAAAAGCTTAGATAAAGCTCTTTTCAAATGCACTGCTTGGCTCCTGCGGGGGGGGGGGGGGGGGGGGGGGGGCGGTGGGTGGCAGTGCCACAGAGACCCAGCAATGGACATTTCCATTAGGCCCAGCTCTGGTTAGCCCCAAGACTATAAGACAAGGGGAATAGTTCAGTAGATATCAAGTACTTGGGAACAGAATAAAGATAAAGGGAAAGAGACCTTTTTGAAAATAGAAACTACCTAACTGACCTTTCCCCCTTTGGCCTCTTGACTTCCAAGCACAGCTTACCTGTGGGTCATCATAGCCATAAAAGCCACAATCAGCTGATGCCATTCTCAGTGCCCTGGGAGTTTCCAGTGTTGGGGAAATGGGACTATAAACACCACTGAGGGTGGGAGGAGGGGAAGGAGGAAGCAATTAACTTGTCCTTTCCCCCTCTTTGTTTTACTATCACCTTAGCACCTATTTGTAGGGTAACTATAATACAGTGGAAAGAGTTCCCAGAATTTAAAGTTAGAAGGGATGGTAGAGATGCTCTACTTCTACACTATCATTTTACAGATGAGGCCTAGAGGGGAGAAATGATGTACCCAAGGTCATCTAATGAGTAACAGAGCCATGACTGAAACTTGGGTCATCTGGCTCCAAATCCAATGGTCCTCCTGTTACAATACTAAGGAATCAGAAGAACTAGACATTTCTACCTTGAGCAAGATACTTCCCCTATATGAGCCCCAATGCCTCAATTTCCTCCTCTGTGGAATGACACTTATTTATATATCTCAGGGATGAGCTCTGGTATCTCTGGGTAAGCTTCTGGAGGGCAGGCACTGTGTCTTCCCTTCCCCACACAGTGCCTAGGACCAGAATGGGAATACACTGCAGTTGGTGCTTAATGTACCTTCCATACCTAGCATGTTCAATGTCTTCATGGCCTTTCTCCCCTTCTTCCCAACAAAACCTAGTCTCGGGAAAACATCTGATAACCTCTGGACTTAGTATTGGGGAGAAAAGAACCAATGGTAGGGAATCTTTTCAGGGACAGGACAACACTCTTGCCTGGTTCTGGGCCATATAGAGGAGACCAAAGCCTATT